TGCCAAGATGGTGGATGCTACTGCACATGTCATGCAGCTGGTTTCACAAGAGGAGCTACTCAGCACCTCTGCGAAAGCTGCAACAATGGGAGACTGGAGTGCAGCTTATGCTCCAAAAGTTGAGCTAAAACAGCTCCCTGCAGTGCTAAGGTACATTTTCTGTTGATAATTATAGATCGATTAGAGTTTGATTGTTGTTTGATCACTTTTCAGGCTTAAGGTAACAAACGAACAAGACACAAAACTTTGGTAACCCAGTTCCCAGCTTAACCGGTACATCTTGGGAGGGAGACTCTTGTCCCTCAACTTCCACTATAATCACTTGAGAATACAAGCCGTGTTTCTCAATTACAAGAAGAAGTTATAAAGAAGATGATAGTAAAACCTTACGGCACAAGTATTCAGAAACTTAGGTATATATATGCATCTATACCAAAATAAGTCTTGTACTCATCTTTGCGGGCCTTCAACAGATTGCAGCCTAAGATAATCTTCTCCTTTTTTCAGATATGAAGCCCAATAAATAGTTACTCCAAAGTGATATTGGTTTCGGTTTGGTTCAAACTCACAATCTCCACCTTGAACCAAAATTGGTTAACAAAAAAAAACCAAAAAATATAGTTTTTTTCGCCAAACACCAAAACATCCGATTTTTTCAACTTTCTCAGAATCGAGAAACTTCTCCTAGAGAAAGAAGTTATTTTTCTTTTATGTTTGGATCCGAGTTTGAGCCGGATTAAGATTTAAGTTTAGACCGGATTTAGATTTAAATTTGGACTAAAATTCAATTGATTATTGTTTAATTGGTTTGTAATCAAATGATTTATTATACTCTTTATCATCTTTTCACGTATTTTCATTTAAAATATAAATTAAAAAAATAAATTTTATAAAAAAAATATATCAGATTTTATTAATATACGGAGGGACATTTGAGATTAAAGTCTCATCTAAATAAACATTTAAAACTTACAAGTAACGGAGTGTTAATACTTTAGTCTGAGAAGAAATGAATATATTTGCTCAAAGAGAGATAAAAAAAAGGATAAAAAACTCTGTTCTTTCTCTTACAAAGCAAACAAGTGACTTTTTGTATGTTTATTATTAATTCTGTGTCTCGAGATTCGCTTTTCTCTTGCGAACTTCTTTTTATCATCTTCTCCTTGTCGGTTTGATTTGGAGAACTTTCAACTACAAAGAGAGATTCCTAAAGTTTCATAAAAGAAGAGATTTTTGATTAAAAATGGTGGAAACGGGTCACCATCATCAACATCCACCGGCACCGGCTGTAGCCGGTCCTCCGATGGTTTCATCTATGGCGGTTCCTAGAGGACCCACCTGGACTCCGGCCGAGCAACTCCATCATCTTCAGTACTGCATCCACTCTAATCCTTCATGGCGTTAGTCTCTTTATCTCTCTTTCTACTTTCTTGATTAGTATATTCCGATTCAGATGTGAATTTCTAATTTAAAGTCAAAAGTTGCGTTAGTCCACTCTTCTCTCTCTCCTTATCTGCTTATCTTTCTTGCTCTCTGTTGTGTCTTTAATAATATTTTAGATCTCAGAATCTGATTCGTTGCCTTTTTCATGCTGTCTCGATGATATATGGTTTTTATAACTATTTAAAACTGTTTTTTAATTGTTCTTCAGCCATACTAATCAACTTCAATGGTAGTTGTAGTTTCGTATAGTCGTACTTGGGTGTAACTCATATATTGAGATTAAATAAATTGTATAGTTTGGTACTATACTTCTTACTTATGGGGTTGGTGAATCCAAAATGCTATTGGATCTCAGTTGAAGGTTGCATCCTTAGTAAAAAAAAAATTCTTCTTGTTTTGTTAAATGGCGTTAGCAAATTTATTAGTCATATAAAATAGGACATGCTATCAGCCTATCAGTGTATTATAATTACAGGAAATGCCCCTAAAATGGTATTTTTATTATTCTTCTTCTTCAAGAACTGATTTTGTTTCATTTTCCATTATCTTTGATTCATTACATACAGATGAGACGGTTGTACTGGCTTTCCAGCATTATATCGTGGTGCTCGGGACTACTGTTTTGATTGCCAACACACTTGTTCCCCAAATGGGTGGAGATGATGTATGTTTTGTTTTTGGATTTAGAATATTTTTGGAATTACATGGTTCTGAAATTAACTTTTTGGTTCTGTGAACAAAAACAGGGTGATAAAGCGCGGGTTATCCAGACTATATTGTTCATGTCTGGAATAAACACGTTATTACAAACGCTTATAGGGACAAGGCTTCCCACTGTTATGGGAGTTTCATTCGCTTATGTTCTTCCTGTATTGTCTATCATTAGAGATTACAACGATGGCCAATTCAATACTGAGAAGCAGGTAACAGCTCGATAGTCTCATTTTCTAGTTTTGCTTCATTTTCTTGATTTTATTTGACACATGCAATTGCCATTCTTGATAATTTAAAATGATTCTTACAGCGATTCCACCATACTATGAGAACCGTACAAGGATCTCTAATCATTTCTTCATTCGTCAACATCATAATTGGATATGGTCAAGCATGGGGGAACTTGATAAGGTGATATAAAATCCATAAACGAGATTGGTTGTTTTAAAGCTGCTGAAAGTTCTAATATTACTAATCCTTGTTTCTTCGTTGCAGAATCTTTAGTCCCATTATCGTTGTTCCAGTGGTTACTCTTACAAGCCTTGGCCTGTTCGTTAGAGGCTTCCCATTGGTAACAGTTTCATCTAAATCTAGATTAGCTTTAAGAACTTGAACAGCTTCCATCAGTCATTATGTGATCTTTTGGGTTCTACAGCTTGCAAACTGCGTGGAAATCGGTCTACCAATGTTGATTTCCCTGATCGCCTCGCAACAAGTTGAGCTACTTTTTTTTTTTTTTTTTTTCTTATGTTTCAGCTCTATATTTGATGGTGACTATTTAGATCTGTAGTTCTGAATTTTTCTGCCAATCTTGCAGTATCTTAAATATGTCATCCCAAGGGCTCATATGATACTTGAAAGATATGCTTTACTTGTTTGCTTGGCACTCATCTGGGCTTTTGCTGCTATCCTTACCGTTTCTGGTGCTTATAACAATGTTTCGGTCGCGACAAAACAAAGTTGCCGCACAGATCGCGCGTTTCTTATGTCCTCAGCTCCGTGGTAGGTTGGTTACTGTGTTTCTTGATTCATTAATTTTCTTCCAAGATCAGATTTCTGTAGAGTTGGTCGCTCATTCTCATTTAACAGGATAAGAATCCCATACCCATTCCAATGGGGGACTCCGATATTCAGAGCAAGTCATGTTTTTGGAATGTTTGGTGCTGCCATTGTTGCATCTGCAGAGGTACAAGTTCTTACTCTGAGATTGTTTATTTCATTAGTATAGCTTCTTGCTTGTGTTACACATTATTCATGTTACAGGCTGTAACTTGTTCTTTATGTTGTTTTTATCTCTATTTTTTTTCTAGTCTACCGGCGTGTTTTTTGCTGCATCTAGATTAGCAGGAGCAACAGCACCACCAGCACATGTCGTGTCTCGTAGTGTTGGGCTGCAGGTTTGATTCCCAGACACTCCTTTCATTTTTTAATGTTTTAGATAGTGGTGTTAAGCAGTAATATTTTCTTATAGGGTATTGGTGTGCTCCTTGAAGGAATATTTGGTTCCATTAGTGGCAATACCGCGTCTGTGTAAGTTCTGAACACCTTTTTTTCTCTATGTTTGAAGTACTATTCATGTTTAGATATAAAGCCAGAAGATCAAATTTACAGCGAAAATGTCGGTCTTCTTGGACTCACGCGTATAGGGAGTAGAAGAGTGGTGCAGATTTCGACTGGTTTCATGATATTTTTCTCCATATTTGGTTTGACTTTCAACCCTCAATCACTCATATTGACGAGTGTTCAGTTTATAGAAAATAGCCTTTTTTGGATTTTAAAATCTGTGTTTTTAATTATCTTCAGGCAAGTTTGGTGCCTTCTTTGCGTCTATCCCTCTTCCAGTCTTTGCAGGCATATACTGCATACTACTTGGAATTGTTGGTGAGTAGCATTTTCTACAATGTTTATATACAAAATTTTAGTCACAAAAGACTAAACCAAGCCAAAGCCGCACAAGCGCGAAAAGGGACTTGCGATGTTCAATCATGTCCTAATTTTCTTGCAAAAGTAGGGTCTGCTTCTGATGTTTTTATGATGTAATTGGCCAGCGGCTATCGGAATATCGTTTATACAGTTTGCCGACACAAATTCGATGAGAAACATCTACGTCATCGGTGTTTCTCTCTTCTTAAGTCTTTCCATCACTCAGTACTTTATTTCCAACACTACAAGAGGAGGATATGGGCCGGTCAGAACAGCGGGTGGATGGGTAAGTTTCATGAGATTGAATGGTCTAGTGAAAATGGTTTTAAACACCAAAATTAATAATTAGTACTATATATTGTTTCTTTGTCTTAATACAATATCATTGTGACTTGTGGTGCAGTTCAACGATATACTTAACACGATCTTTGCTTCGGCTCCGTTGGTGGCGATCATTGTGGCGACGATTCTAGATAACACGTTGGAAGCAGGACATGCTATGAATGAAAGAGGAATCTTGTGGTGGAAGCCGTTCCAGCACAGGAACGGAGACAGTAGGAATGACGAGTTCTACAGTTTTCCCCTTAGAGTTGGCGAGTACATTCCCACGCGGTTCCTCTGAAGAGCACCCCGTGAAGGTTTCGTCTGTGTGGAAATGTAAGATTTGTGCAGGTCATGTAGCTTCAATTGGGGGCGAACTTTAAATCTAAGGGATAAAAATGAATGCAAGACATATGGAGAAAGCTATTTTGCAAACTAACCTGATTACTGTGTCCCTTATCAGTAACTTAACATGTGGTTAGCTCTCATCTATATAAACGAAAAAGAAAAATAAAATAAGAGAACAAAACATGAAAATGTTGCCTAAATTACAGTAATGCCGCCCATGAAAATAATTTCTGCCTCCCCCCATGGCCAAGATGAGTAATGACTACGGGGCAGCTTTACGGGCTTTGAATTTTATGACGTTGATGATATTAGAAGAGCAATAACTTAAGAAATAAGCAACAAAACAAAAACATCAACATCTCTATGCTTGTCCATGTCACTAGAAGACAGGAGTTTGCTTAGATATTCACAATGGACAATAAACATGTATGCAGTCATAAATATCACAATTACTTCAAAAGTCATATATCTATATAATAATTTGCGAAGTGATTTTGAAAAATGGAATTCTCTCGTTCAATATCACTAAACATTACTTAACATTACTTAATATTACATAAGTGTCTTTAATAAAAAAATCTCTAATCTATTTTAATTCCAAGATTTTTGTACTTACTTTTTTAATATTTCAAATTGAAATCTTATATCTATCTATATATTTTATACTATATAATTATTGTTTATTAACAGCTGTTTATTAAAATTTTCTTTTTTTTTAATTCAGCTATTCAAAGGAAATCTAGGTTATGTGTATACTAGCTTTTAGTCTCATTTTTCTGATTCATTCCGAGCCGTTTAGTTTAGACTTTTAGGGTTTTATTGTCTACGTTATAGTTTATGCTTTGTTATTTTCTTTGACTTCCTCAGCGTTTTGGACAATTTCGGCGACGTTTTCGATCAGTGTGGCTTTAGGTTCCCGCAGATGTGTGTTTTGTTCCCCTGGCTAGATTCAACAGTTTGCGTGGTCGTGTTTTGGTTTCGTTTAGGTTAGCTCCGACTGTGGTTCGGTGATGATGATGAGTGATGTCAGATGTTAAATAGAGGTGGCGGTTCTGTCCTCACGATTACCTTGTCTCTGGGGGAGTTGATTGCTCAGCTCCTGTGCCGCCAGTTGCAAGTGGTCTGTTTGGTTGAATCGGAGACCGCGTCAGTTCTCGGAGAAGCTGTAAGCATTCTTTCTATGAGGTTTGAGGACTGCTTCAGAAGGATGCTCATGGCAATAAAGATGAGAACTCCAATTTATTTTGAACTGTGGCATAAACGGGATGGTTTGCGCTCCGGCAAGGCGTTTGATTGCTGCTTTTTCATCCGGTTTCGTTTAGTTATTATATTTGATTTTCTCTAACAGTTTCCTAGCCTTCCTCTGTTTATTGTTGTTTAAAGTCATTTTTGTTTAGTTGTTTGTAGTTTTCGGTTGCTCTGTTTTTCTTTATTCTATCTTTGTAATTTTGTCTATAATCAAAAATAGTATAAAATTTAAAATTTTACCAAAAAAAAAAAAAAAATTTGACTTTCCTATGATGCATCTTATTTTCTCTTTTCTTGTTTCTAGATGCTTTCGTGGATTAAAAACAAAAACAGGTTTTCAAAACGCACGAAGAAGCAATGAAGAAGCAATCGATATAGGAGAAGAAGAAGTCAGAGGCAAAACCCGGAAGCGCCGGAGCAAATAAAAAGGAGACACCCATGGTGCATAGTATATATCTGGCTTACCGGTTCTAAAGCTCTCATAGATTTGATATAGAATTTATGGCTACACCTATATTTGTTATATATGGTATGTTCTTTCGATAGTTTACTTTTATATAGATTATAACTTTTTTTAAAGCTGTCTTCTTTTGTTCTCTCTTGTTTGGTTTGTTATTTATATGTCCTTTATAGATCATTATGTGTCGTACTGTTTTGGACAAAATGTTTTTTTACGTAGCATGATTTTTTTATTTTATTGTTTCGTTTGTGACATTTTGGTTTCCCGGTTGTATTGGTTTGCAATAAGTTTTGTGCTCCCATTTTAGTCTCTCTTCTGGATCAAACAATTGATTGTTTTTGTTTTTTCTTTTTTAGGCTCCGTATTAGAATGATCGTTGATCTCGGTATTGGAACATACCTAATATATACTTGATGTTTTGCGATTGATATTTTATTGTATCTTATTCGTTGATACGGATTGACAGAAACCGGCGGTTTAAACGTTTCGTGCGCGTGGACGCTGCCACAGTGGAATCGGTTACCGGCGAGCGATCAGGCGAGATTGAAGACAAAGCAAGGAGTGAGAACCGTCGGGTTTACTGAAATCGACGTGGTGAATCCTTGTCAAGAAAACTAAGATGTGTATGAAGGTTTTCTTATTAATCTTTGGTTAGACTGCGTGATACAAACGTTTAACCTAGTATAAGGCGGTGACATCAATATAGAATATTTACATATTAGATATATATCCAATATACTCGGATATTCACCTGTAATAATTCTGAATCAGGTCGGAGCGTTGAGAGGAACAAAGAAACCATCCAGGAAATAATGATGAGAGGGAGCTCGATCATGCTTGGCTATTTGAAAGTTAATGTGAATGTTTCAGTATGCTTAAAGCTCAATGGGTGCTGGTGTTGTCTTAGTGTCAACCAATGGTACACTTTTTGATGCAGAATTTGGCAGGAAGATCGTTTAGCTCAAGAGAAGTTTTGATGTATGTTGAGAAAGTAAGAAAGAAAAGTTTTGGTGTAAATGATGGCTCTGAAGATTCAGAATATTAGGAGAAAAATGTATTGTTACCATTCATGAAAGAAAAATTGGCGAGAGTTTAAGAATGTTTACCAATTATAAGTTTGAAATGGTTTACTTGCATTCCAAGAAAATGATTTCAGTGTCGTTTAAACTTATAATGGGGGTTTGCATTTTTTATGCAAAGTGATTTCCGTAAAGTGGCAAAAGTTTAAGAATGATGTTTTTGTTTATGAATGGTACACCATATCCTATCTCTTTCACCGGTTGCAATACAGTACTATTTACCTTATTTATAGTTTGTTTGTTTGTCAACATATGAAACTTTTATTATTATGCCGGTTCAAACAGGTTAGCCGTAATAGCTAACCAATTTGGGACTGTTTGTGATACATCCGAAAAGATGAGCTCCTGAGCACGAGCACCCTTTGCAAGAGCGTGGCCCGGATATTACATGAGTGAGGAATAAAAGTGAATGAAAACTCAGAGAACATCTGTCGCAAGTTATAAAACGCTTCAAGCTCCGATGAAAGGTTTGGCCATTCTCTCTCTCCCTCCACTAGTTTGATTAATTGCAGACAATTTGTCTGAAAAGAAATTTCTTGTATTCCTTGTTGTAGAATAGTTTTCATCGTTAAGAGGGTGGTTTCCATTTCAGTGTGGAGAGGTGACATTGCTGCCATAGCCGTGGATGAACCTAGTAATAGAGATGAGTTATCCATGGCTAAGACGAAACCCCCTCCATACATTTGACCAGCTCTTATCCACGAGGCATCTAGTTGACAGTGAACTCCATGAGTTAAGGGGTTCACGTCAACTATTGTTCCCCTCTGATCTGTTGTACCATTACTCTCATTTGCTACCCTTTTTGCCACTTCCCAGCTGTTTGCTTCCTATATTGCTCACTCCACAGTATCGCTAGGTGCAATTTTGATATCCTCAAACACTTTTTCGTTCCAAGCTTTCCAAATATACCAAAGTATCTATGGAAAGGCTTTGCTCTGTTCTTGTGTGACCCCCTAGATCTTAGCACGGGAAAGAAGAAAATCAATATTACTGAATAAAGAATCGCACGAAAATATTTTCGGAACATTAGTGGTTGGCGAGAGAGCCCGTGTCTGACTGGCTCGAGAGCATTTGAAAAAAGATGATTTATGGATTCTTCCTCTGCTCCACATATGGGACACATTTTATCAACTCCGCAATGGCGTTCCACTGGACGGCCACAACTAGCTATGCATCCAGAGATCAATTGTCAAATTAGGTGCTTTATTTTTCTTGACGTTTTTATCTTCCATACCTTTGCTTTTAGCTCTGTGGTTCTTGGTTCTAAGACTACAGTTACATTATCCGAGAACTCCAAACTGCATGCCTGTTCATACCTTGTTTTAACTATATAATTGCACGAACTTGTATATCTCCAACAATATCCATCACAGTGAAAAACTCTGGCTGGTCTGATGCTAAGAAACGCAGTATATTTTCTTCATCTATTAATTCATGTAGTTCCTCCACTCTCCAGCGTTTCATATTGAAGTCAATATAGTGATTAACATATAAATGTGGATCTTTTTCATTCGTTTTTCCTATCACTGGCAGTGCCGGTGTAACTGGGATCCATCGGCCGACCCATACATTTGTGTTAAAGCCCGAGTTAATCTTCTTACACAATCTGGGTTCTAATAATGCCTTTGCTGCCATGATACTTCGCCACCCATATGACGGGGAGTTAGATTTCTCGAATTCAGTAGGATTAGTATACCTAAAGTATCGTCCTTTTAAGTCATGTGCTAGTAGTGAGGACGGATATAAAAGGACTCTCCACAGTTGTTTCGCAAGGAGGGCTAGGTTGAAATTTTTAAAATTTCTAAATCCTAAACCTCCCTTGCTTTGAGGGATGCAAATTTTATCCCACGCTAACCAGTGTAGGCCACAATTATTTGACTTCTTGACTCCGTGTAGGCACAATGTTCATCTTGAGCCAGTTATTGTAGAAGAAAGTATCGTAGTCATCCCACTGCTCTCGGATCTCCCAGAAAACACAGTCGCGTTTGACCACTTCCTTCGCCGGCGGATCCGCTCATTCTCTCTCCACTGGAAACACCAATTTGAAAATTTCAATATTTTGCATAATCAAGCAGAAAAACTAAGGGGCAATGCCAAATTACTCCTAAACTATCTAGTGAAGCATGATTCAAGTCACAATTCAAGCTAGAACAGGGTGAATTGAAGCTTTCAAACCTTGGGGTCGAACTGAAAAGATAGGATTTCGAGTGTCATACCTTGTAGATCGGATGAATGATTTATATATTCAGAATCAGCACAAAATTCACCCAAATTAGGCTTTTGAATCACTCAAATCCGTCAAGAAACAAGAAAGTTACAATTTGGGAAAACAAATTGTGTTCTTCGCGTGCTATAAGAAATTAAGGAAAAAGATGAGTTTGGGTTTTATAAGAAAACTTACCCAGTTAATGGTGGTGTCGATCGACACTGGTCTATGTCGATTGTGGTCGATATCTCTTCGCCACAGGATAGAAATTAATCATCCTGCGTAATTTTTTTTAACTGAATATAGACACGAAAATCTGTTAGAAAAAAACTAAAAATTAGAATAAGTATGTACACTTACCAGTGGGTTGCCTCCCACCAAGCGCTCGTTAAACGTCATTAGCTTGACTGTCCTCAGGATCAGGCAGTGGGTGCATTCGCCAAAGGCATAATCTGTCATTCGGGAATCTCGGCTTTCGCCTAGCAGTGCTTCACCCTTTGTCCATTGACAACAAACTCTCTGCCTTTTGGAGTTGATAAAACAAATGCACCATATGGTCTGAACTCCTTGATGGTGAAGGGACCTGACCAATGAAAACGCAATTTCTCAAGAAACAATTGTAAACGAGAGTTATACAGGAGTACCTGGTCATTTGGTTCAAAGTGTATGGCAAGGATCTTCTTGTCATGATATGCCTTAGTCCTCTCTTTGTAAAGCTTGGAGTTCTCATAGGCATGATGTCTGATCTCATCCAGCTCATTTAACTTCATCTGACGCCTCTCTGCTGCAGGTTTCCAGTCAAAGTTCATCTTCTTGACAGTCCATTGTGCCTCGTATTCTAGCTCCACTGGAAGATGACATGCTTTCCCATAAAGCAGGTGGAATGGTGTGGCGCTAAGTGGTGTTTTAAATGCTATCCTGTAAGCCCAAAGTGCATCATCTAGCTTGGCTGATCAATCTTTCCTTGTTTTTCCCAATGTCTTCCACATAATTGCTTTGATCTGCCTTTTGGAAACCTCAACCTGACCACTTGTCTGAGGGTGGTAAGGTGTAGCAAATTTGTGATGAACTCCATACTTCTGCAGCAGCTTCTCAAACACTCTATTGATGAAGTGTTTTCCACCATCACTGATCACAATCCGTGGTACTCCAAATCTGGGAAAAATGATGGCCACTGCAGAATCATCGTTTGGACTGGCTATTGCTTCCACCCACTTGGATACATAATCCACATAAACCAGGATGTATTTGTTCCCATAAGATGAAGGAAAGGGTCCCATGAAGTCAATGCCCCAGCAGTCAAAAACTTCAACTTCTAGTATGAAGTTTTGTGGCATCTCATGTCTCTTACTGATCTTTCCTCTCATTTAACAGACATCATAATGAGATATGAATGTCTGAGCATCTTTGAACAAATTAGGCCACCAGAAGCCTGTTTGTAGAACCTTGGACACAGTCATGAAGGTAGCAAATTGTGGAACAGCACGTCCTGAACTTCAGCTTCTGCAAGACATCTTCTGTAGATTCCATCAGTACAATGCTTGTACAAGTAAGCTCATCCCAGTAATATCTGCTAAACTTCCTCATGAATTTCTTCTTCTTATACCCTTTGAGGGTGTCAGGGACATCATCTGCAGCTAGGTAGTTCACAATATCTGCATACCAAGGCCTAGAAGAAGTGTCAATCGCGCTGATAGGCTGAGAGAAAACATCACGCAGAATCTGTTGAAGGAGGAGTGCAGTTTGTGACTGGTGTCGATCGACACTAAGTCTATATCGACTAGATGACGAGCTTGGTGTCGTTCCTGCTCGATATTGACTCACTTCGAGGGCGGTGTCGATCGACACTAGAGGTGGTGTGTCGATCGACACTGTTTCTGTAGCACGAAAAAGTTGCAGTTCTTCAACATCTGGTTCCTGCAGTCCTGCTTCTCGGAAGTAGATGTTCTCTTATGGCAGGAAAACATCAATAGGGACGTCGTCTTCAATCCTGATCCTTGAAGGATTATCAGCTACTCCATTCTCAATCCCTTTCTTATCTCTGATCTCAATATCAAACTCTTGAAGCAGAAAAATTCATCTGAACAGTCTTGGTTTGGCATCTTTCTTCTGCATCAGGAACTTGAGAGCAGAATGGTCAGTATGCACAATCACCTTAGCTCCAACCAGGTACTGTCTAAATTTCTCAAATGCAAACACCACAGCCAACAATTCTTTCTCTATCGTTGCATAATTCTTCTGTGCTTCATGAAGAGTTCTGCTTGCACAATAGATGCCATGAAGCTTCTTCTCTTTCCTCGGACCCAAAACAGCGCTCACTGCAAAATCTGAGGCGTCACACATCACCTCAAATGGTAGATCCAAGTCAGGAAGTTGCACCATGGGAGCACTCACTAAGGCCTGCTTGATCTGTTGAAAGGCTGACTGACACTCTGCAGTAAATTCAAACTTCACATCCTTGCAAAGCAAAGCTGTGAGTGGTCTTGCAAGCTTGCTGAAATCTTTGATAAATCTTCTGTAGAATCCACCATGTCCCAGAAAAATCCTCACTGATTTCACACAATCTGGTAGCTGCAGACTTGTCATCACCTCGATTTTTGCTATGTCAACCTCAGTGCCTTCTCCAGAAACTCTATGCCTAAGTACAATCCCATCTCTGACCATAAAGTGGCACTTCTCCCAGTTCAGAACCAGGTGCTTTTCTTCACATCTTGCAAGCACTTAGCAGAGGTTTTCAAGGTAGTCTTTGAAGGAGGAACC